TGTGCCGGTCACGGCCACCGTAACTGGAGAGGTTTGAGTTGAAGAGGCGAAATGTAGCTGGCCAGACTTTTTGTCTATATCTCTTCTTTGACCTATCCAACCTCTTCTTACTTTCTATCATTGATGTACGATGTATAGAAATACTTATTTTTTTGCGTTTACTTCAACTCAAGTATGTTTTTCGGTGTTTTATTCAATCTTAGGAATATATTTACAATTGTTATTGTTTCTTTTTTGAAAGATTAGGAATATATTTACAATTGTTATTGTTTCTTTTCTCAAAGATTAAAATAATCATAAACATTTATGGAATGCGTTTAAACATGTAAACGTGGGGGCCTAATTTATATAGTTTAGTTAGGCTAGCACGACCAAATCGAGCTATGTGCTTTTATTTACTATGATTCTTGCAGACTTTTTATGTAATCTGATGTAAAGAGAAAAACAAAACTTATAAAAAAAAACACAAAAATAAATGAATAGTTGCATGTTTTTCGGTTGCTACCTGGATTTTGAGAAGTATCGTTGTTTCTGGTAACAGGAGCTCTGAATCCTCAAGAAGAACTTTGTTAACAAGGCGAGATGCAATTTGAAAAGAAAGATTCAATTTCTTCTCAACGAAAAATAAACATAACTTCACATGATTCCGAAATGTCGTATTTTAATTAGAATTAAATTGTTTATATTTAACCGGAAGTTTCTTAATTGGAATACCTCTGACATGTGTGTAACACCACGTTTGTGTTTAAATTTGGTTGTTGTATGAACTAAACATCACACTTCAAAGCCAAAAAACGGTTTGTCTACATAAATGTTCATACAATGAAGATAATATATTCGAGGACAGAATTGTTATATTTTAAACATCAATGCATGTATTTTTAACGATATTACGCGAAGTATCCGAATACTGTAAACGGAAGTAAATAGTTTTGGTTACCATGGAAAAACGTGACATTTAGGTCTAGCATGACTAATTTTTGTCCATACGAGGTCGTCTTACTTGTGATATTTAGTACAAAGGGATAGTTTTAGTACATGCTCAAAATAAAATAAATAATGAAAAGAAACTTTTTACATAAACTTCATTGGGGTTTGGATCTAAAAACGCATAATTCCAAATTGTCGATTAAATACAGTTTTAAAACAAACAAAAAAAAGAACAACATATTTCAACGTCTAGATAATCTAGCCTACTGTACACATTTGACGTTAAAAATGATATTTGAATAATTATAGCCTAATATGATATTTGCTCAGATTGACAAATATACACGATATATTTATATATTTGGAACCCCAGAACCCAAGTGTCTGCATGGTGCCTTGCTCTGGTCTATTGAATGTTCTTATATAAAAAGACTACAGTAATGCTATGAGAAAAACTGGCTTAAGATAATTATAGGTCACTAAAACACTTGTTAATTAGAGTCTGGATCCCTGCTAAGCTTCCTCTTATAAACACTGCCACTCTAAATACTACAATTATTGTCTCTCTTAATACATTGTACTCGGTCTTGGTCAATATGTAGAGGCATATATATACATGATACTGAGAAAATTAGTCTAGTAAAAATAGCCCCATCAGTAGATCTATCAGTAAACTAGAAATAGTGATGTAGCATAGGTACCCGTTGTAGTATGCTGCTGTCAGTTATGATAAGCCCCGCCTACTGTGTATAATCTCTTGTACTTGTAGAACTTTAATTAGTTCTTATAATACACTTGTACAGTAAAAATTAAAAGCTAGGAACTATATCCTTCGGGTCTGTGTTATCAAACAATCCCTTTAAGGGTCTGGTTCCATTTAGAACATTACACCCGTAACTGCAGCTATAAGTGCCTTACTTTTGAAAACTTTTATTCACGTACACTATGGAAGCATAAGCCCTCGAAAGAACGTCCCAAAATATTCCGTTTGATACCCAACTTGACTATGCTACGACCGTTCGTAAGGAAGATATTGACTATGCTCTACATGACTGACTTTTTTTTCTCATGTAAACACGTTAAGTGTATATATTGTTGGTATCAGAATCTCAATTTTACGCGATTTTTCTTCTACTCAATAAATTCGTGCATGACTATATATGAAAATACTACAAATGTATGTTTGTATGGAAAGTCATTTAGTGTTAAAGGGGTACGTCTTTTGTCGTTCTGGAAGTCAATGGCTACAATGTGAGTCAATGGTTGCTAGGGGAAGTCACTTGTTGCTTTGGGAAGTCACTGGTTGCTATTGAAAGTCAATGTTTGCTAAGGAAATGACTGGTTGCAAGTTATTTAATGTTAACTGCGTCTCTGGTCGCTATGTACAGTCAATGGTTACTATGTGAGTCAATGTTTGGTACGGGAAGTCACTATAGTTGCTATGGAAAGACAATGTTTGCTGAGGAAGTCACTGGTTGCTATGGGAAATCAATGATTTTTATGGCAAGTCACTCGCCCGACACTCAGGGGCAATTTACTCCATCATGTCAAGCGAAACTGATTAACAGAAGATCTTTTGGATATTCATTTCATAGTTTGGCAGCGATATACTAAAAGACATCATCATACCTGTCAGTTTTTGGAATATAATGTGTCTAAAATTTAAATGATTTTTCCGTTTATGTCAGCATAGGTTTCTAGTTTTTGTGCAATAAAATTGCTCTTACTTTTTCGATTCTTGGGGGATTCACCCATTTCATGATATTGTAAGGTTTATAACCCTAGATAATTACTTCCCATCTAAACTTTAAAAAATTGGCCCCTTATAGTTAAGTTGTTGCCCTTAAGGGTTGGGGCATTGGAATTGCTGCCACCGTTCATCACTGTGTGATTGTAAGAAACGGCTGATTGGGTTCGCATTACTTGGCTCTATACATCTCCTAGTTCATCATGTGAGATGGTTTCAACTTACTTTGAAAATTTTAACACCCCAGATTAGCCAAAATAAGCTTTCCTGTTTGGGTATGACCTCAACTGAACTGGTGCATCGTAAAACCAAACAACTAAGACAACCTTAAAAACTATTACATTATACTATAACTTATTTATTTATATAGTAATTTACCTCAAACGTCAAATACATGCTCCTTATAATATACATCAATTTTACAAAAAAATGTTTTATCTCTTCACTATGGAGCTGTAATAAAAGTCTGTCTCCACTACTAAAGAGATATACTTATGATTCCTCGTCATCACAAACATGTATTACAAGCCTGTAGACCTTTTTCTTGCCATGGCAACTAAAATTCTGCATGTAATGGACTTTGGGATCAAATATGTTGTATAAAAAGATATCCAAACAAATCCAAATAGGTAAATCTAGCACTTTTACAGTCATCAAGCGATTTTTGTTAGATTTACCCTTGTCCGTCCGTCCATACATATAGATACTTGCGTGCTTTGGGAACAATAGGTAACAGTAAATTTCCTTCAGTAACCTCTTATGAAGCTACTGGCTAAAAGAACAATAGAGAACAAAAGAAAGGCATGTAGCTCAAAAAGTATTGGACCTAGGGTCATGAAACTTTACAGGAATGTTGATCAGCATGTTCGCTTGTGGATTTATTCTGTTTTGTCAGATATTGCCATTAACCATGTTGACTTTAATAGTAAAAATTTGCAATTTTCAAATTTTGTCGTACATAGCTCAAAAAGTATTAGACCTACTAGTCATGAAACTTTACAGGAATGTTACTCGGCATGTGAAGTTGTGCAACTGGGGTTTCGCTTGAAGGTTTATTCTATTTTGTAAGAGTTATTGCCCTTGTCTTAGTAAAAATTTGCAATTTTCAACTATTATCGTACATAGCTCAAAAAAAGTTTGACCAAGAGTATTGAACCTTTACAGGAATGTCGGTCTGCATGAGAAGTTGTGCACCTTGGGTTTTGATTGTGGATTTATTATGTTTTGTCAAAGTTATTGCCCTTGACTTACTAAAAATTTGCAATTTTCAATCTTGTGTGACACATAGCTCAAAATATGTTTTACATAGGGTCATGAAACTTTAAATGAATGTTCATCAGCATATGAAGTTGTGCCCCTAGGGTTTCCGCTTGTCGAGTTATAGCCCTTGACTTAGTGAAAATTTGCAATTTTTAATTTGTGTCGTGCTTAGCTCAAGACTTAGTATAAATTTGCACATTTCTACTTGTTCATGCATAGCTCAAAAAGTATTTGACCTGTAGTCCTGAAAGTTTACAAGAATGTTGGTCAACACGTGTACTTATGCACTTTGGGGTTTGCTTGCAGATTTATTCAGTATTTGTAAAGTTCTTGCCCTTTACTTAGTAAAAGATTTCTAGTTTTCAACTTGTGGCACATGTAGCCCAAAACATGTTTGACCTAGAGCCATAAGATTGACAAAACAGTGGAATGTAGGGGCACCTGTGTCCTATGGACACATTTCTAGTTTTCCTTTACAACCAGAACAAAAAACGTCACCCAAGAATAAATTGTAAATTTTACTTACTCATAAATGCGGCATAAGAGTTGTTTTCTCTTTTCGTCCAATTAAGCCCATAATAGGATTCTTTAACAATCTTAAGGCTGGCTAATCAATGCCTTGTTTTGGTTAAGAGTCACAAGAATTGGTTTAAGAGAAAATCTTAATAATATGATCGCTCTTTAAAAATTAATGTTATTAACTATCAATTACAGCATTAACCAGTTCTGCCACATACATTTCGCAAGGTAATACAGAAACATGGTCATGTCTCTACACCTTCAAGATCACATGATGACCTTTTGGCTTCACAGTTTGGGGATGATCTCAAATGTCCTCCTGAGTATTACAAGGAGTTTGAAAGAACCGATGACCAAATAGATCTACATGACAACTTCCTCACTTAAAAATATCCAAAGTCCTTGAAATTTAAAGAACCTGCAGGTATGCAACCTAAAATCAAAAACCAATAGCAACTTTGACACTGAGGTCCCAAACATTTAAACATTAATCACTTTATAAAATTATTTCTAAAAATCTAGGATAAACAACAAAATACACCAATTTCTATTTAATATATACATTTAATAGCAATTTTTTGTAAAATCATCAGATTACAAAGAGAAAAAAAACTTATATTAAAGTAGGCACTGCCATTACTTTTGTCCACTTTTAAAGAACACAATGTGTTCACTTAGTTTTTGTAAAATTCTAACATTGCATGTTACATAATTATGATAATCTTAATTGGCATACTGAGTTATTATAGGATAATGGTTCTACAGATTTCCCTGTAGTCAGATAGATCCAATAAGAAGTTTCTCTTACTCCAATAAGGTTTGTAGGCAAACAGCATGGATCCTGATCAGACTTCGCCGATGCCAAGCCTGGTCTGGATCCATGCTGGTCGCAAACGTGTTTGTTTTGTCATGGCTCAGCTTAGATATTTTTGACATAAACATTAATCACTCCAAAAAATAAATGCATACTTATTCCAAAAAGAATAACCTCTAAAGTGGCTGTCATAAATATTGTGTTCTAATTAAATCTGAACAGACTGTGAATGGCTTTCTTAACAATACTAGTGGTCTCTTATCCATGTCACAAAGTGCATACTTTGATTAGTTTAAAGTGCATATTTTACTAAATTGCATTGCCTACTTTTTAAGTCCACATACATTGTAACACTAAGTCTTACTACATGGGTCATCATCTTGGTCAACATACATATATAGTCTAGTATTAGCAGAGACATAGATAAAAGTTTTAACTTTCAAGTGTTGTATACTATACAAGAATCACATCATTCTACAGCCTTTAAGTTTTAATTGCTACAACATGCCTAATTTTTTCACTTTTGATAGGCATGTGGGATATTTAAATAGAGTACATAGGAGTTGCTTATCTGTTATCTACATCTCTGGTATAAATGTAGTTATTTCACTTAATGTACTTTCATATTTAAAAGGATGGGAAAGTTCAGGTTATATATCCAGATATAACAGTAAAATAGTGTCTACATAAAACTGACTCAATGAAAGAGGTGGAAAGTTTTGTGTAAAAAAAAATAATTCATTTTCTGTTTGAAGTCTGTTTTGAGAGGATGATAAAAACATGTGTTGTAGATCTGACCACATGTTTATGAGAATAACATACATGTAGTGCCTGTAGAATCAGACAACTGATAGTAACAAAGTTATACATACACATTTTAAGCACTTTTCTCAAATGCGTGTCAAATGCAAAAAAAACCCATTAAAATGTGTTCTTGGCTTCAGAACATCAGTCCATCATAAAAACTTTATACATTTGAACTTTTTTATCAATAATCAGTAAAAATATCACTTGTTTAAAGAAAAGACAGAATCTCAGTAACTTAGTGTTGATGCAACAGCAATTTTCTAGTTCTGGTTGAGAAATTCAGAATTCTTCTCTTCAGTTAACAAAAATGTTTTTATAACTTCCTAATTATCTCAACCTATGTCATGAAGTTTCTTTCTTCTTTTTGTTGAGTCCATCATTAAACCCCTCTCTGTTGCGAGCAATTTCAATCGCAAGAAACTGTATTCTGACCACTGCAACAGAAAAAATTAATTTTTAATGCAAGCATTTAACAGTTCCCTATACTGAAAGAAAGTTCAAACATGTACATGTGTATATTGTATTCTGTTTTGAAATTTCATTATTTAATACCATTAACAGGAGTCCTTGAATCTGTTACTTTACTTTGTAAAAAAAGATACTCTTTAAAGGTGATTGGAATTTTCAACTGGCCAATTTTCTTTGCTGTTTTAATGTCACCTTTCATATTACATACATGTTTTCAAAATATGACTGAAATTTGTCACAACAGAATTTTACTTTAACAGATTTATATTTGAATTCTGATGAATAGAAAATCTGCAAGGTAAACACAATAGTTAGTGAAATGAATATGAATACTTTACATTTTTTTTTATTTCACAATTCATATTAGAATTATCAAAAATTCTAGAAATTTTACTCTTTTCTTTTGTTTAATTTATGTGTTTTGGAAAAAGGGGGCATATGTTTATTTTTCTTCAAGGGTGACCCTTTGGGTTTGGAAAGATTCGTCCCTCACCTTGATAAGTAGACATTAAACCCAAATTTGAGGAAAATTTAAAAGGGGCAAAAAATTTTTGACATTTTACCCTTTAAATGTGACCTTACCCTTAAGGCAACAGGTCAACTTGTTGAAATGAACATTTGAGCTAAGTAGAAAATTCACAAAACTGCATTGGATTAATAAAGCAGACATGGTTAAAATGATCTTTTTTCTTCTTTTTTTGGGGGTGAGGCTGTGTGAATTTACATCGCACCAACCTGTTATAAATCATATGGCGACTTTCCAGCTTTACTGATGGAGGTATACCTTAGGTGTGCTTTCCTGCATTATTCCAAGCACGAATGGGCACCTGAGTTGAACCACTGACCAGTCTGTAAGCCAACTGAATAAATTCCTTGCATGAAAGAATCTTAAGTCCCAATCGGGGTTAAAACCCACAGCAATCAGGCGCAACAACCTTAACCACTTGACCATAGATGCCCCTCAAAACAGATTGATCAACAGACCAATAGGACAATATCATTCAAATATACTTAAATCACTATGTTTAGTAAGTGGTTATTCACTCATGAAAATGCTTTAAAAAAATTATATTCACTTGGTGAAATACATTTTTATCTTATAACCAAACAAGCAAATTACCTTTGTTTATTTGAAATTAAAATGCATACACCATTAAGTTTATATGGGCACTTTTCAGTTTGACTGGTGACAAGAAACAAAAAGCAGAGCCATAAATTTTCTGTGATTCAACAATGTGCGAAACAGTACAAATGGAACTTACCTAAAGTAGAATTACTCTCTGAAAATTCTTCTCTGCTGTTGATTCGTATCAATGTTCCCATGTTGAAGTCTTCTACACGATTTTCAAATTTATTGCAAAATCCTCGCCATTTCTGAAGTATGCCAAAAGAAAAGTTCCAAGTTTTAAAGCAAAGTGATTGGCATAAAAAAGAGAAGTGACCAGTATCTAAATTTATCTATATTTAACAGCATCATTCTATAGACTTAGATGAGAACAAAATTTCATATATAATACTTGTCTAAAGCATTAGTACTATTCAATAGAACATTACAATGAAACTGTACAGGAAGTTTATAACTTCAACCATAAACTTGATACAGAATAAGACTGTATGGCTATTCTCCTATATAGAACACAGCCTGTCTAACAGGATTAAAGGTTCAATATAAATAAGTACAGTTTAAACTTGATATTTTAATATCGCTGAGTCACAATACAGTTTTGCAAATAGGCCTGCAACATTAACAATTCTGACTTGCCAACAAGCCAGAAACACAGACAATACTAACTTGCCAATAAGTCTTTCACTGACAAATCTGACTTGCCAATAAACTCGTAACACTGACAATACTGACTTGCTAATAAGTCTGTACCACTGACCATACTGACTTGCTAATAAGTCTGTACCACTGACCATACTGACTTGCTAATAAGTCTGTACCACTGACCATACTGACTTGCTTATAAGTCTGTACCACTGACCATACTGACTTGCTTATAAGTCTGTACCACTGACCATACTGACTTGCTTATAAGTCTGTACCACTGACCATATTGACTTGCTTATAAGTCTGTACCACTGACCATACTGACTTGGGCTTATAAGTCTGTACCACTGACCATACTGACTTGCTTATAAGTCTGTACCACTGACCATACTGACTTGCTTATAAGTCTGTACCACTGACCATACTGAGTCACTGACTTGCTTATAAGTCTGTACCACTGACCATACTGACTTGCTTATAAGTCTGTACCACTGACCATACTGACTTGCTTATAAGTCTGTACCACTGACCATACTGACTTGCTTATAAGTCTGTACCACTGACCATACTGACTTGTCGATAGAGATACTCTGGAACTTGGTAGATAAGGGTTTTTCCCATCCTATCCAGGTGTGTAAACAAACATTGACCCTAACATTGCATTGACCATTCTATTGTGAATGGCAGTACACCATCAAGCTGTAATGGTTAATTTTGTACCCAAGGAATAGATGGGAAAAACCCACATTTGCCTAGTTCTTAATAACATCTATAACATGGAAAATACTAACTTGCCAATAAGCATGTAATATTTACAAAACTGACTAATCATTAAACCTTTCACATTGACAATACCTATGTGCCAGTAAACCTATTACATTGACAATACTGTCAAGTACAGGTGCACTGCCAGGTGCAAGAATGCCCTATTTGTGCAGTCTGACAATACAAGTATTAGCTATAATTACTTTTTTTTACTGAATTTTAAAAATTAAACAATGAAGAAAAAATTTAAAGAAAAGAGGGAAAAGGAAAAAAAAGAGAAAAAAAAGGGAAAAAAAAGGAAGGAAAAAATTTTAAGGAAAAGGGGGAAGGAAAGAAAAAAAGAAAAAAAGGGAGGAGGAAAAAAAAAAAAGAAAAAGAAAAAATATGCAACCCGGATGTGTGACCTTGGGCCCTTTGGGCCCCGGGGGGTTTAAATTTTAAAAGACGGCAACTCAGCTCACATGATAAAATTTGTGCCAAATTTAAAATTGAAATCCCTCTATGCATTTTAGAAGTTTTTGCTCCCGCAAAGGTTTTTTTTATGAGCTCTAAAATTTGACCCTTTACCTTTTTACCTAAGAACCCTTTGGTTTCCCTGTGCAGGGACATTAGGGGGTGAAAAAATTTTTAAAAAAAGTAACATTAAAATTCCTCCATGCATGTAGAAAATATGCTCTGGACAACATCTGGATATTTAATCATCTCCAGTGACTTGACCTTGCAAATATTAACCTAAATTAAATGTGTCACATCTGTAGTCATGATAGTTACCATTTGTGCTACAATCCATCAATAAATGATGACTAAATGGTGCCTATACACATGTTCAAATTTTTATCTGAACTTTGACCTCTATGTGTAACCTTGAGTTTGGTCGCAGGGATCTGAATTTTGCGTGCGACACTCAGCCCCACAATGGTGAACATTTGTGCCAAGTTATATTGAAATCCCCCTATGAATGTAGAAGTTTTGCTCCGGACAAGTGTTTTTCAATGAGCTCTAAGTGTGACCTTGACCTTTGACCTAGAGACCTAGTTCTTGGCGTGACATGGATTCTCATAATGGTGAACATTTCTATGAAATTTCATTAAAATCCCTCCATGCGTGTAGGAGATATGCTCCGGACAAAATCTGGATATTTCATCATCTTAAGTGACCTTGACCTTGTATATATTGACCTAAATTATATGTATCACAGCCATAGTCTTGATAATGACCATTTGTGTTACAATCCCTCAACAAGAGCCGGTTGAACCGGGTGATGCTCCCCGATTAGGTTTTGGACACAGGAAGGTATACCTCTTGTTGTGTCAGAGTTATGCCACAGACAAAGTTCAAAGTGTAAAAACAACCCAAATATTGTGCACAACACATTGTCTCAATATTGTGATCATTTTTGTGAAATAGTTGTAAAATCCGACTTCAAATAACGAAGAAATGCGCCGGACATGATTTTGCTGCAAGGTCATGACATGACCATGACCTTCAAGGTAGGGACCCAACTGTTGCATGCGGCATGTTGATTCAATATGGTGATCATCTCTGTGAAATAGTTGCTAAATCCGACTTCCAGTAACAAAGTTATGGGCAGGACCTTGTGTCTCAATATGGTGATCACTTCTGTGAAATATTTTTAAAATCCACTTCAAATAAAAAAGTTATGGACCAGACACGATTTTGCTGCAAGGTCATGCTGTGACCTTGACCTTCAAGATAGCGACCAAAATGTTGCGTGCGACACGTCGTCTCAATATGGTGATCATTTCTGTGAAATATTTTTAAAATCCGACTTCAAATAATAAAGTTATGGACCGGACACGATTTTGCTGCAAGGTCGTGCTGTGACCTTGACCTTCAAGGTAGTAACCCAAATGTTGCGCGCGACACATCGTCTCAATATGGTGATCATTTCTGTGAAATATTTTTAAAATCCGACTTCAAATAATGAAGTTATGGACCGGACACGATTTTGCTGCAAGGTCATGCTGTGACCTTGACCTTCAAGGTAGCAACACAAATGTTGCGCGCGACACATCGTCTCAATATGGTGATCATTTCTGTGAAATATTTTTAAAATCCGACTTAAAATAATGAAGTTATGGACCGGACAAAACTTTGCTTCAAGGTCATGCTGTGACCTTGACCTTCAAGGTAGCAACCCAAATGTTGCGCGCGACACATCGTCTCAATATGGTGATCATTTCTGTGAAATATTTTTAAAATCCGACTTCAAATAATGAAGTTATGGACCGGACACAACTTTGCTGCAAGGTCATGCTGTGACCTTGACCTTCAAGGTAGCAACCCAAATGTTGCGCGCGACACATTGTCTCAATATGGTGATCATTTCTGTGAAATATTTTTAAAATCCGACTTCAAATAATGAAGTTATGGACTGGACACGATTTTGCTGCAAGGTCATGCTGTGACCTTGACCTTCAAGGTAGCGACCCAAATGTTGCGCGCGACACGTCGTCTCAATATGGTGATCATTTCTGTGAAATATTTTTAAAATCCGACTTCAAATAATGAAGTTATGGACCCGACACGATTTTGCTGCAAGGTCATGCTGTGACCTTGACCTTCAAGGTAGCGACCCAAATGTTGCGCGCGACACGTCGTCTCAATATGGTGATCATTTCTGTGATATAGTTTTAAATTCTGACTTCAAATAACAAAGTTATGGACCGGACACGAATTCAAGACGTACGTACGTACGGACGGACGGACGGACAACCCGACGACTATATGCTCCCCCGAAATTTTTCGGGGAGCATAATAAATGATGACTAAATGGTCCATATACACATCTTCATATTTTTATCTGAACTTTGACCTCTATGTGTGACCTTGACCTTGGCCTTGACCTGAATCTTGCGCGCGCGACACTCCGCCTCACAATGGTGAACATTTGTGCCAAGTAATATTGAAATCCCTCTATACATGTGGAAGTTTTGCTCCGGACAAGTATTTTTCAATGAGCTCTAAGTGTGACCTTGACCTTTGACCTAGAGACCTGGTTCATGTGCGCGACACTGCTCCTCATAGTGGTGAACATTTCTATGAAGTTTCATTAAAATCCCTCCATACATTTAGGAGATATGCTCCGGACAAAATCTGGATATTTCATCATCTTTAGTGACCTTGACCTTGTATATATTGACCTAAATTATATGTATCACAGTCATAATCTTGATAATGACCATTTGTGTTACAATCCCTCAATAAATGATGACTAAATGGTCCATATACACATCTTCATATTTTTATCTGAACATTTTGACCTCTATGTGTGACCTTGACCTTGGCCGCAAGGACCTGAATCTTGCGCGCGGACACTCCGCCTCACAATGGTGAACATTTGTGCCAAGTAATATTGAAAATCCCTCTATACATGTTGGAAGTTTGCTCTGGAAAAGCATTTTTCAATGAGCTCTAAGTGTGACCTTGACCTTTGACCTAGAGACCTGGTTCATGTGCGCGACACTGCTCCTCATAGTGGTGAACATTTCTATGAAGTGTCATTAAAATCCCTCCATACATGTAGGAGATATGCTCCGGACAAAATTGGACGCCGCCCGCCCGACCGCCAGGGGCGTTCCCATTATACGTCCTGTTTTTCAAACAGGCGTATAATAATGATATAATATTCAATTTAAATGACTCACTTCTTTTGAAGCTGGTGTTTTCATACCATCAACATCCAGATTTTCTACATTAAAGTCTGGAAACTCTTGTCTAAATAAAGTGTAGATCTCATCATCAAGCTGTGTCAGCTTTAAATATCTCGTCTCTACCGATGATATTAACTGTAAATAAAACAAAAATTCTATACCTCAGCTCTAAAGTTGATTTTAACTGAAAACAAAACAAAAATTCTATACCTCGTCTCTACGACGATATTAACTGAAAATAAAACAAAAATTCTATAACTCAGCTCTAAAGTTGATTTTAACTGAAAACAAAACAAAAATTCTATACCACGTCTCTACTGACGATATTAACTGAAAATAAAACAAAAATTTTATAACTCAGCTCTACTGACGATATTAACTGAAAATAAAACAAAAATTCTATACCTCAGCTCTAAAGTTGATTTTAACTGAAAACAAAACAAAAATTCTATACCTCGTCTCTACCGACGATATTAACTGAAAATAAAACAAAAATTCTATACCTCGTCTCTACCGACGATATTAACTGAAAATAAAACAAAAATTCTATACCTCTTCTCTACCGACGATATTAACTGAAAATAAAACAAAAATTCTATACCTCGTCTCTACCGACGATATTAACTGAAAATAAAACAAAAATTCTAAACCTCGTCTCTCCCGACGATATTATCTGGAAATAAAACAAAAATTCTATACCTTGTCTCTACTGACGATATTAACTGAAAATAAAACAAAAATTATATACCTTGTACCGATGATATTAACTGAAAATAAAACAAAAATTCTATACCTCGTCTCTACCGACGATATTAACTGAAAATAAAACAAAAATTATATACCTTGTACCGATGATATTAACTGAAAATAAAACAAAAATTCTATACCTCGTCTCTACCGACGATATTAACTGAAAATAAAACAAAAATTAATATTATACGCTTGTACGTCTCTACGACGATATTAACTGAAATAAAACAAAAATTCTATATCTCGTCTCTACCGACGATATTAACTGAAAATAAAACAAAAATTAATACCTTGTACCGAAAATTCTATACCTACGACGTAACTGAAAATAAACAAAAATTTCTACCTACGACGACGATATTAACTGAAAATAAAACAAAAATTCTATACCTCGTCTCTACCGACGATATTAACTGAAAATAAAACAAAAATTCTATACCTCGTCTGTACCGACGATATTAACTGAAAATAAAACAAAAAAATTATATACCTTGTACCGATACGATGATATTAACTGAAAATAAAACAAAATATTCTATACCTCGTCTCTACTGACGATATTAACTGAAAATAAAACAAAAATTATATACCTCGTCTCTACGACGATATTAACTGAAAAAAAACAAAATTATAAAAACAAAAATTCTATACCCTCGTCTCTACTGACGATATTAACTGAAAAAAATAAAACAAAATTATATACCTCGTCTCTACCGACGATATTAACTGAAAATAAAACAAAAATTATATACTTGTACCGATGATATTAACTGAAAATAAAACAAAAATTATATACCTCGTCTCTACACGACGATATTAACTGAAAATAAAACAAAATTATATACCTTGTACCGATGATATTAACTGAAAAATAAAACAAAAATTATATACCTATGTACCGATGATATTAACTGAAAATAAAACAAAAATTCTATACCTCTGTACCGATGATATTTAACTGAAAATAAAACAAAAAAATTATATACCTCGTCTCTACCGACGATATTAACTGAAAATAAAAACAAAAATTAATATACCTTGTACCGATGATATTAACTGAAAATAAAACAAAAATTCTATACCTCGTCTCTACCGACGATATTAACTGAAAATATAAAACAAAAATTATATACCTCGTCTCTACCGACGATATTAACTGAAAATAAAACAAAAATTATATACCTTGTACCGATGATATTAACTGAAAATAAAACAAAAATTCTTTATCTCGTCTACTCGTCTCTACCGACGATATTAACTGAAAATAAAACAAAAATTCTATACCTCGTCTCTACCGACGATATTAACTGAAATAAAACAAAAATTCTATACCTCGTCTCTATTGACGATATAAACTGAAAATAAAACAAAAATTCTATACCTCGTCTGTACCGACGATATTAACTGAAAATAAAACAAAAATTATATACCTTGTACCGATGATATTAACTGAAAATAAAACAAAAAATTCTATACCTCGTCTCTACTGACGATATTAACTGAAAATAAAACAAAAATTATATACCTCGTCTCTACCCGACGATATTAACTGAAAATAAAACAAAAATTCTATACCTCGTCTCTACCGACGATATTAACTGAAAATAAAACAAAAATTATATACCTCGTCTCTACCGACGATATTAACTGAAAATAAAACAAAAATTCTATACCTTTGTACCGACGATATTAACTGAAAATAAAACAAAAATTATATACCTCGTCTCTACCGACGATATTAACTGAAAATAAAACAAAAAATATATATACCTCGTCTCTACCGATGATATTAACTGAAAATAAAACAAAATTCTATACCTTGTACCGATGATATTTAAAACTGAAAATTAAACAAAAATTCTATACCTTGTACCGATGATATTAACTGAAAATAAAACAAAAATTATATACCTCGTCTCTACCGATGATATTAACTGAAAATAAAACAAAAATTCTATACCTCGTCTCTACCGACGATATTAAACTGAAAATAAAACAAAAATTCTATACCTTGTACCGATGATATTAACTGAAAATAAAACAAAAATTCTATACCTCGTCTCTACCGACGATATTAACTGAAAATAAAAACAAAAATTATATACCTCGTCTCTACCGACGATATTAACTGAAAATAAAACAAAAATTCTATACCTTGTACCGATGATATTAACTGAAAATAAAACAAAAATTCTATACCTTGTCTCTACCGACGATATTAACTGAAAATAAAACAAAAATTATATACCTCGTCTCTACCGACGATATTAACTGAAAATAAAACAAAAATTCTATACCTTGTACCGATGATATTAACTGAAAATAAAACAAAAATTCTATACCTCGTCTCTACCGACGATATTAACTGAAAATAAAACAAAAATTATATACCTCGTCTCTACCGACGATATTAACTGAAAATAAAACAAAAATTCTATACCTTGTACCGACGATATTAACTGAAAATAAAACAAAAATTCTATACCTCGTCTCTACCGACAATTAAACAATTAACAAAACAAAAATTCTGTCAATTTATTTCTAAAATGAAGCTAAATAAAGTCTTTGTTCCAAATAAAATGCATCATTATATTTCAAAATGACCAACAGACAAGCTAACTCTAGTATTCCCCATTCAAACTTTGTTTGTGGGAAAAACCAGGGATACAAATATCTCAGCTCTATAATTAAGCCTTGCAGTTACAGACCTTTTTAAAAACAAAAATTCTTATACTACATGTAAAATCAATGACTCTTGGTGTGGGGCCAAATTTGACACAAGGGTCATGATTTGAACAAATATGATAGAGGTCTACTTAATTTTTTCTTTGCCTCTTTAGATTCTATCATTTTGATAGATCTATAGTGTAGATTCAAGCCCACTTTATCATTATAAAATTATGTAAAAAGAAAACTGGGCATCGCCATTTTTCTTTTGCCTCTAATATGTTGAAATCATGAAAATCACACTCAAATATATCGTTTCCCACTGTTGAACTATCTACTCAGCTTAAATTGATTATTAATTAAGCAACAACCATACAATCTTCTTCAAGTCAAGTTATATACCACTGTGGCAGGCAAACTTCAAATTTGTATCAATGACATCCTTCTTTCACAACAGCAGTGCATAATGGTGTATAAAATGACATAATTTTACTTATTTTTATATGTATAAAGCATGTTTTTCCTAAAAGTAATTCTTCCCATATTTTGTACTTACATTAAAATATGTTTCAGCGTGATGATATGCTTTGATTGCCCACTGAAATTCTACATCTTGCTAAAATGAAAGCAAAACAGTATACTTGTTAAATCATACAAATATTTTCACTCAATTACCATTATCAATAACATTTTTATAATTTTCTTTTGCATAAAAAAGTTCTCTAAAAAGCTCTAAAAAGTTCTCTAATCCTGCAGTTAACAATACAATGTGTTAACAAAAGCTGTGCACATGGTGAATGACAAGGCTACTTAATAGTAAAACAAACTCTGATCAGGATTTTTAAAGTAAAGAATGGTCAGAAAGTCAGTGAAAAGGTCTTGGTCAATGACCAATTATTGTGGTTATTCTCAAGTAGTTTTGAAGTTCAGAAAAATAAATAATTCAGTGATACTCCATGTTACAGTGAAGGGCCTTATCAAGTTACATACAATTATGATTTCAATGACATCTGTGTTGTAACAGTATAGTTGGTTTAAGTGACGCAAGTAACCGTAATGCCCAGAAAAGTACTGAGCTGTCCATGCAAACTTTAAAACAACAAGAAGTATTATCTAAAGTATATAGCTAAATATATACATCTACTGTAAAAATTATTGTCTGAAATAAAAAAACAAAACAAATAAACCTTCCAATGTATGAAAGAAATATCTTTTTGAATTTCCATAAAATGCACAGTATAATTGCTAAATGGTTTCATGTAAAATAGCAGCATAATAATTATCTTGTTCCGGAATATTTTATTGTACTTATGTTTAATTTTCATGCGTAATATTTTCCCTAAAATGGTTTTCCCTAGATTGTAAGATAACAATAGAAAATATTCAAACAGGGGAACAGAAGTAAAATGTTCTTTCTTTTTAATTATTAAAATCATATATTCAATATTGGAACATCCCACACAAAAAGTGCCCCTGATTTACCTTGTTTTCATAATTTTTGGCATCAGACTGAAGAGCTCCACCTACTGCTGACACTTCTGAAGCATTGAATGATTCCAGGGATGACATTCTGTAACAAAAAATACAAATTATAATATTTCATCATTATGTTCAATAGATAATATAAAGATTTAACCCACTAATTATTTGCCCCTTAATGGATCTGACCTAAATTAAGATACCTTTCACCCAACATTAGTAACTATTCACCCCACTTAAATGCCCATTAAGCCTCAAGATGCTGTTAGTATTAAATAATTATCTTTACAAAAGCTTATTTTTATTTTGTGTCAAGTTACAGTAATTGACCATATACCTGAGCCATCTTTTGCTATTCTTGAGTTTTAAACTACAGCTCAGGGAGTCAGATGTGTCGCCTTGTGAACAATAAAGTTTAGGCGAAATGGCCAGGACAAAAATGAAATATGAAAATTAACAAAGGGCAATAACTCAAAAAATAAGAAATGCAGAGCAGCAGTTTCTGTGCACTGCACTTCTTATGAATAAGATCTATAATCCTATGAAGTTTCAAGTCCATAGCTTTTATAATTTATGAGAAATGGCCTGGACAAAAATAAAGTATGAAAATTAACAAAGGGCAATAACTAAAAAAATAAGAAATGCAGAGTACCGGTTCTTGTGCACTGCACTCTTCTTAATGAGATCTATCATCCTATGAAGTTTCATGTCCATAGCTTTTAATTTATACTTTAGGAGAAATGGCCTGGACAAAAATAAAGTATGAAAATGAACAAAGGGCAATACATGTAACTCAAAAAATAAGAAATGCAGAGTACCAGTTCTTGTGCACTGCACTTCTTCTTAATGAGATCTATCATCCTATGAAGTTTAATGTCCATAGCTTTTATACTTTAGGAGAAATGGCCTTGACAAAAATAAAGTATGAAAGTTAACAATGGGCAATAACTCAAAAATTAAGAAATGCAGAGTACCGGTTCTTGTGCACTGCATTTCGGGTCATTATAAGAAGCATGCATATCAAGTTTGAAGTCAATCCGACTTATAATGACTGACTTATGCTCCGGACAAGCTTAAGGGGACGCCGACAACAAGCTGACAAAAGTAATTCCTATATGTCGCCTTTTTAAGGCAACACAAAAATTAGTAGAGAAACAGTGATTTAGTTTTTTGAATGAAAGTCATAATTTACCATTTTGTTTACAATTTGCTAACTTTGTCACAAATATTTCATATTCAGCACCATTTCCTTCTGGTGATAACCATTCTTAATCCATTATCACAACATTTTAAATCACATGTATGCCAAAAAACATGCCTTTTATTGACAGTTCACACCACATACTATACATGGATATATGGCATATAAAAAGAAATTTTAAGAAACTTAAATCCTTAATTAATAATTCATAATCTATTGATCTCTTAATTTTACTATTTAGATATACACATTTTGTGACACGAAGGTATAACAAACAATTAAGATTCTTTAATTAATTAGACGATCGACACAAACTGCAAAAACTTTTTGGTTAACACAGTTAAACCTCTTTTTTGCACTTATACCTGTAGGATACCTGTAGGATACCTGTAGGATGATTCTGGGCTCTGATGGAAGGGCCAAGCCCTTTTTAAGCCCCTCTTCTTTTGACAATCTTTCACTACTTCTTCTTATTGCTCTCACCACTTCTATGTTTAATTATATATACTTTTATCTATTTCTGTTCACTCTGCTGTATAATTTTAACAGCATAATTTTTCAATAAACATTTTAAACTTTATATGGAGTGTCTCCGGTCCAGTGTTGGTCTAGTTTTATTTTAAATTCATGAACACTTTTTGAGTCTACTACATTTTTTGGCAAATTATTCCATGTTTTAATCACACGTCTTGAAAACTGATGTAGGCAATGAGTTGTTCTACTACGAGGCATTTCTAGTTTTAAATTATGTCCCCTTGTTGATGCCGAATAACTAAAAAAATTTCAAAAACACAGTCATCTAAGCCCTTTACTATTTTGAAAGTCTGAATCATGTCCCCTCTTAATCTGCGATGTATTACACTTGGTAGTTTAAACTTTTTTAAGACGGTCAATATATGTCAGATCTTTTAATGATGAAACTAGTTTTGTTGCTCTTTGTTGAAGTTTTTCTAGACTTGATATATCTTTTATTAAATATGGATTCCACACAACATTTGCAAATTCAACATGAGGACGAATCAAAGCTGTATACAATTTCACAAAGGTGTATTCATCTAAAAATTCAAAAGACCGGTTCAATAAGGCCTAAAATACTATTTGCCTTATTAATCTTAGTAGAAATATGTTTGCTAAATTTAAGATCTTTTTCAAAAATAACTCCTAGATCACATTCTTCTTGAGTATCTGATAAAGTTTTGTTATTCATAACATACTGTTTTTGAGGATTTGCATGACCATAATGCATCACCTTACATTTATCAACATTAAAGTTCATTTCCCATTTTACTGCCCAGTTCATAATTGAGTCAATATCATTTTGGAGGACATCTGACTTGCTAGTTGGTGTATACAATTTTGTATCATCAGCAAATATTTTAATGCTTGATTTGACATTATCTGTGATATCGTTCACATACATAATAAAAAGTACCGGCCCCAACACACTACCTTGCGGCACTCCACTATCCACTGCTTTCCACAATGATGTACTACCTTTAATTGATACACACTGTCTTCTATTACAAAGAAAACTTTTTATCCACATCAATACATTTCCCTTGATTCCAAAAGATGACACTTTATTTAATAAACGTACATGTGGGACTTTATCGAAAGCCTTTGCTAGATCAAGATATATGGTGTCCCAACTTTGATAATTTTCCATATAAATATTCCATTCTTCTAATACATTTAGAAGTTGTTATGCTCAACATTTGTATATACTGTTACAGTTTGGGATGTTAATGGAATCTTGAAGAAAAAAATTAAACTACCTGTATTTTAAGAAATTGACTGACACAACGATTGATACCTACCTATATATCTTTAAGAAATGTGATAGTTGTTTTAAAACGTGTTCATTTATTTATTTACCTGAACAGAAATAACAAATGGCATCCGAACTATGTGCCGTCTCATTAAACGCTTGAGCCGCAACTTTATTTAAAGGAAATTTCGTAAACCAAGCGCCTTGTTAACTGACAGACGTCCTTGACATTATTATAGCTAAGATGGCCTCAACTGCTCTTCTTCGATGCTGTACAAGAGGTTATTTATCTTTTTGATAAATTTGTGACCGTTTTGAAAATTATTTTTTGTATATTTGAATAGATAATATCTAACAATGATTTTTGTATATAATGCCATGATAAAATCACTCCAATTTACAACAATAATTTAAATATTTGTTAAAAGAAAGTGTTTTTTTTAAAGGTGAAGGTCAAAAAATACTGTTTTAAGCTTTTTGAAATTTAAATTATTTTGTGAATACAGATAACACTACATTTTTTTCATTTTCAATGATTTTCAAGTAATAATATGAAATTAGGCAAAGCCTATGAACGGGGAAGTCGTTAAAAATTCCTTTCATTCTTTCCGTTTTAAATTAGGTGGGTCCTCCTTAGAAGACATACTGTAGGCAAAGCCTATGTCGGCTATGAACAGATCTGTAAAGCCTATGAACAGACCTGTGTCATTCGGAATTTCAGTCAAGCACCGTTTCTGTTTTCGCTCGGAACACTTGATGATTATATTAATACGAAAAGTTGCAATGAATTGTTTCGTTATCAGAATACCCTGCCAATTATCATTGAGTAAAAACATTGAAAATCTCTTTGTTGCGTCTTAGAGGTTACACCAGCCCTATGAATATGATGTCGCTTTGAGATATTTTTTGCTGATGGGCAAAGTAATGGGCTTGATTGACATAAACTATAACAGGCCTGTAATGTCGGTTATATTGGACTAGGTTACACCTGGCAGTCATCGAATTTAGCACTGGCCCGGTGGCCCATGGCCAGTGAAAATTAGTTTGGGCCAGTGTAAATTATAAGAAAATTTAGTGACATATATAGTAGAATATATTCAAAACTGGAATTCGGGCCAGAAAATTCAAAATCTTAATTTCAATGACTGACCTGGTGAGGTATAGTGATGAATCTGGCCTGCAATATCCACCCGCTGCCGGTAGTCTGTCTTTTATCCCCTGGGCCCAATTGGGACACACATTATAGTCCACAAAGTCAAAAGTAAACTGCAGATTACCCACTGCCCCAGAATACAGTCTAACCTGCATTTATCTAGCATCCCATCGATGACCAGCTGATGTACCTCTATTTAGTACAAGGTCAGTCTGTATGCAAGTTGATGCCTCTCCACATGATATTGACCCACTCCTGTAGCAACAGTGCTCCCTCTTGAATCTTAAACCTGAGGTCTTTTCCAGAATCTCTCACAACTGTTAGTAATGTCTTGGTAAAACCTACTCTCATCAATAAATAGAACACATCTCCAGTTTTGTCAGGTCCATCTAACATGCCCTCTCAACCGTTCCATATTGGCCTGGTGGATGATGATGAGTCAATGGAATTCTTATACTGGGTCTTTTTGATAGCAACCTTGCAAGCATTGACCCTAGAACCATTAAGAAGGTCATTACAATCTTATATAAACCTCATGATAAGATTTGTTGTTGTAATTAACCGTCCTTGACAAGCCTGAATATTCTTGTCACCCTTTATCTGCCTCTGCCATGCCTCCTGACTGGTGAATCATACTGCCGGCACCTTACCCAGGCTCTGGTGATAATGGTATGACTAAGCTTCACATCAACCACTTGGTAATAATTATGGTGAGAAACTGTTGGTGCTTGGCAAAAGTTAAAGTAAATGTTCTTGTTTGTAAAATAAAATACACTGGAAAAGATGGTTTGAATAATTAGAGCCATAAAAAGGTGATGGTGTTAAACTGTTAACCACAGAATAAGTGTTGAACAAGACTGCTGCACCTAATGGTGTATTTTACGTCTAGAGTTTGTGCTGTACCGTCAGATGTTCAATCTTAAAATGTGAAGTACTCGATTGAAAAATAAAAGAAATCTACAGAACAAATTATTGATTAGTAAAAGGACTTTACATAAGTATCACTTTGACATTTAATTAGATTTAATAGAATAGAATTCTTTATTTTTTCCAATCATTGGCTATCCCTGGGATTAATCCCAATTAAATTATATATATATGTACATTATATGCATGGAAACCAAAGAATAAAATCACTAAGCTTTAGTTCTGGTTGTTTAACAAAAATAGCTAAAGTAACATTATAAACGAAGTTCAAGTAAAACTATATGATATATCATCATGCTATTTTAAAGATTATAAAGCTTTAAATCTGCTGCAAAAATTATTGTTTGTCAGAATTTTAAAAAATAATACACACAAAATGCTTGTATTAAAATTGTTTTTATGTAGAATAGTATTTTGGTCCAGATCATTGTTATAAGTACAATATTCATGTGTGTTAAATATAAATACGGATGTAAGAGACATTTTATGTTACATGTACATCTCTTTTGAGAATAAACCATTAGATTATAATATAATATCATTTTACAGTTTGATAAATTTTATAAAACATTTTATATAGCTTTTACCCTCGTAAGATATTCCAGTTTCTTCATAAACAAAGTATATAGATGTGAAAAGTATCTTATGAAAGTATTTATTTTAATGAATCTGAAGATACTTTTGGCAGACTCTGTGTACAACTTAAAAATTAGCCTCTTTATATTATTTATCAATGTATGAATTGGTTTAAAAAAGAAAAGAAAAATAAAACTAGAAGATATAACAATTCTCTCTTTACTTCTTTTGTAGGTGGACAGTTCCTCTTCAGGTCAAAGATTACCAGCAGTGGTTCTCTATCATGCCTCTTGCGACCTGAATTAACAAGCACAGGCATTCAATCGAGTCTACTGAGACCTGATGTTACAACAAAACATTTCACTCTTACACCCACACCTTCTGGGGCTCTAGACTATTTCAGGGCCAGAAGAGGACCTTTTACACCAGGTATGTAAGGTTTTATATCTGGAATGTTGAGTGTTCAGTAATTATAAATGTTTACCTCTTGCACCTGAATCAAACAAGGTAGAATTTAGTGACATTCATGATTGCTTTCTTAATTATAATATGTATATTTGTAAATCAGAGGAAAGACAAAGATGATATCATGCAATTGTTGTTTGTATTTTCAGCTGAAAAACAAGGAAATCACATAATGTTTTCTTCAACTCATTGGAAAATAGAAAGAATTTTGGCAGTCAGCATGCTTGGCATTATGCCAGCAGCACTTGTGTATCAAGGGCCATTGATGGATATGTTTTTAACAATTCCTGTATTCATGCATGCTTTCTGGTGAGAACCTTTTATAGTATTTATACTTTAAATGATAAGTTTAAATGTTACACTATCTACTGTTGCACATCCTTAAAATAATATTTATGACAAAATGTACTCATGGAATTTATAAGTATATCAGTAGAGCAACAGTATTTACATAAAGGTTTCAATTAAATCTGTTTGAATTTGTATTTGTTCTACACAAAAGAAAAAACAACAGCATACAAATGTGTCACTGTGTAAATTAACTTAAATGAATTTGCAAAGTTTCATGATTCTGTATAAGTGGATATTTATGCATCACAAAAATTTTGCCAATGTCAAAAAGTTAATTTTTGCGTTCCGAAATATTTGCAAAAATATGATTTCTTGAATTTAATACTGTTTTCGTGATATCATTTATAAAGCAGGTACATGTTAAGAATATGCCGTTATTGTAATTGTACTATTCAGTTGTTTAATACCTTTTTTAGTTATATAATTGTTTGAAATACATTGTATACAATGTAAGTTTGAAAAAGGACCTGAAGTTTGCCTAGAAAGAAATAATTTTTGTGTGATCAAAGATTTGCGAATAATTTCAATTCGCAAAAATCACAAATATTTCCATGTCACAAAATTATTCACTTACACCGTATGATTGAAAACATGTATCTGCATCACAGATTTTATTTGAAACTTAAACATTTAACTTAATAAATTAAACATGACCAATTATTATGTTTAACTGTTCCATTTTATATGAATTCCTTTTAACACAATCATTTCATTTTTTATCTAATGAATTCTTTTTATTATGTGTATTATTGACAAATTTATTTATTTTCTCTTGTTATTTTATAACTAATTTTTCAGTAATTATTGTCACAGATATTGTGACAGAAAATTAGGCATTTAGTTAATGAAAAGATTTCCAGTTTCAAACTATCTTAACTCATATCATACAAGGCCTCTATTGCTACATTTGCTGTTGAGAGTACAATTAAAAAACAAAACAACATGAAATATTAATGATATCTTTCTTTTTCAGGGCTTTTGACCATGTGTTGTCCGACTATTTGCAAAAGTTTATACCATTCATCCATTACATTTGGTGGGCAGTGTCAATTCTTGCTTTTGCTGGACTCATGCACTTTAACTACAATGATGTTGGAATTACTAAAGCCATCGCTATGCTGTGGAAATTGTAGACGTGCTTAAATTATATGTATTGTTTCGTGTCATACCAGTGAAAAAGTGCTCCGCAAACAAGACAATGAACATAAAATATTTAAATAACAGCAAGGGAAGTAACTGTAACTTCTTGTCTCTAAGATTATGTAAACAAATGTTTTGATGTTAGATTATGTAATAATTGTTTTGTTGCATTGAATGAAAAAAAGAAAAGTGATGTTTTTGACAAAATACAAAAGTTGAGTTATTATAATGAAGAAAAAAGGTTTTCTACATGTTTTTCAATTTTTACAAAAAATTTTAATGTTTGATTTAAAAAAAAAGGATGTACCTTTAAAATAAAGAGAAATGTATATTTGCTAGTGGTTTCTATGTATAGCCATGGTATATTTCGCACATTTTGTGATAATAAAAGAAACCTGCATGCTATAACTTGTAATATTTGTTATGATTATTCTGCAGCTATATCTTGCTTGTTAACATTTCTCACATCAGCATAATTATATAAAATATGAAGGCAAAGTATTTGTTTTAAAGTCTGTATAAATCTTTATTACAAATATATGTAGACTTTTTCCAGGTGTTTACTTAAAATTTTTAGTCTAGCTTTAAAATAGTAAGAGTTACAATAGAAAAGAAGAAATAAATGTTCTGTGTTGTTAAATTGGTACACATTTAAAATGTAAAAATGTCAAGAATTTGATTTTATGTTTACTAGTATACTAGAAGCTTAAATTATTTTAGGTTGGTTTTTTTGCTAAACTTTTATCTCATCTAATTTTTATTTTTGTGAACAAGAAGAAGAAAAATAAAATATTGAAGTAAAAAAGAAATGAAAAATTACTTTCTAAATTTAATGTAGAAATTTACATGTTCTACGTTTAATTCTTTGTATTTAGGTGGAATTTTCTATATTGACTATTTCGATTTTTATGATAAACATGTATTAATGAGGTATTAACATTTAATAAATGATAAAAGTTTTTTAGCGTTTTTCCCCCTTCTTTTTTGACTTTATATCTAAAGCTATAGTCAAAGTGTATTAAGTTATATATTCGATTTTAGTGTAAAATTATTGTGAAGAAATTTGTCAGTATGTTTCATTTAGTGGGACATGAATCAATTGTCCCCAAATGAACTTAAGCAACAGTAAAGAATTTGTTCCGGAAATTTCATTCTACATACAATATTCATGTGTATAAGATGACATAAACATTCTTTCAAGAAGTAATCAAAAGGTAATAAAAAATAACAAGTTCTGTATTTTGACCAAGTATGAAATGAAAAACAAAAACTTTCAGTTAAATTAAGTTAACTGCCTTTAATAAGATCAAATATATAAAAAAACAAATTCAAGGACTGGGTAACTTAAAGACAAGGTTGTTGACTCCCAATTTTTAGCTCGACTATACGAAGTATATGGAGAGCTGTCCTACTCGCCCCGGCGTCGGCGTCCGCGTCCGCGTCCAGATTTTAGATTAAAGTTTTGGTGCAGTAAAATATTTTTCACTATAACTTTGTCATTTCTTAAGGTATCAACTTCAAACTTCAAATATATGTTCCTTATCATCAACCACATCTTATGTGACAAGGTTCATAACTCTAGCACCAATATTTTCAGATTTATCTCCCCTTGAACTTAGAATTTTCCTTAAAAATACTATTTTTTACTGTTATTTCTTTATTTCTTAAGGGATCAACCTCATACTTCAAATATATGTACCTTATCATCATCCCCATCTTGTGTGACAAGGTTCATAACTCTAGCACCAATATTTTCAGATTTATCTCCCCTTGAACTTAGAATTTTCCTTAAAAAATACTATTTTTTACTGTTACTTCTTTATATCTTAAGGGATCAACCTCATACTTCAAATATATGTACCTTATCATCATCCCCATCTTATGTGACAAGGTTCATAACTTTAGCACCAATATTTTCAGATTTATCTCCCCTTGAACTTAGAATTTTCTTTAAAAAATATTATTTTTTACTGTAACTGATTTTTTTCTAAAGGGATCACTTTCATACTTCAAATAAATGTACCTTATCATCATCCATATCTTTTGTGACAAGGTTCATAACTCTAGCACCAATATTGCAAGAATTATCTCCCCATCAACTTAGATTTTTTTACTAGAAAAATGTTATTTTTTACTATAACTTTTTTAGTTTTAAAGGTATCTACCTCAAACTTCAAATACTTATTCCATATAATCAATTATGTTTTATGTGACAATGTTCATAACTCTTGAAGTAATTTTTACAGATTTATCTCTCTTTGAACTTAAGATTTTCTTTATGAACTATTATAACTTTGTTACTTTTTAAGGTATCTACTTCAAACTTCAAATATATACTTCTTATCATTACATACATGTTGTGTGACAAGTTTCATAACTCTAGCGTGACTATTTCTAGAATTATTCCCCTTGATCTTGGAATTTATTTTAACAAATGTTATTTTTTTACTATAACTTAATACATAATTATATATAATTGATTTTTCTTTCATAGTTTTGTCCTCCTTACTGCGTCCAGTATTTTATTAGTCGAGCTTGGCTGTTTCCTGTGACAGCTCTTGTTTGTCACGAAAGATCACTAGTCTTCTCCGACGTCTGTCTGTCTGTTACAAAACTTGTCCAGAACTACTGGTGCAATTGCATCCAAACTCTACAGGATCAATTGAACCAAACTGGTTGTGCATATCATCGGCATTTTCTGGTTCAATGAATTTATCAAAGTTCTGGCCCTTTTATAATAACTACTCCTCTCATCCACTAGTTCAATGAAATGTTACAGGATTCTCAAAAACTACTACTGCAATTTCATCCAAATTTTGGCCTGTAAATGATTTGTGTGTCTCCTGCTATATAATAGCTGCAGCATGCAGTTGGCTATCATCAGGCGATACATGAATACTGAACACCCTTGTTTTACTAATATTAAAGCAATTTTCAATCTGATTTGTTGTATGTCTATATTGTGGGAGTGCTTTTGAGCCTGGCACTTGATGATTCAAGGTGTTAACACTGTTGTGACTGGAATCTTATACCTATCATGTACACAGAAAGGCAAAGTGAAAAAAAAATATGAGTACATTTGTACATGTACTTCAATACTGCTTTCCACATATTAATTTTTGTCAAGGACTAGCATTAATTATTTTGATAAACATCTGAATACTTTATAAGATATATACAAACAAGACAACTTGTGAATTTATAATTGAAATTATCATTAAAGTTTCCTCCTAAAGTAGTAACCTGTCATCATAAGATCAAATATCTCGACATCTTTTTTTTTCTTTTTCAATGGAAAAACATACCTAGGAGTGAACATGTACATGGGAGTGACAATAGAATTCACTGTCATTGATGTAAAATCGTATCTAATTCTAGATGTTTGTTTGTTGCATTTAACGCCTTTACCCAACAGTATTTCAGTCATATAGGCGGGTAGTTTCCTAACCATCGTCCTGGAGAGTTACACCAGTACTATACTACCTTCCTCCGCGCTAAACTAATCTAATTCTAGATAACATAATATTAATTAAGGCCATCCTACAACTTTCGATGAGTCAAAGGCTAATTCAGTATCTAATTTTTCACAACTTTAAATTGCTTTTTATAAGCCCGGTAGAATTTCTTAAAGTTCGCCCCCCCCCACCCCCTGTCAGGCTAGCAGCTTCGCAAGCCACGTCTAATTATTGTCCGGAGGTTATATCCTACACAAATTGAGGAATTTTAATGAAACTTCATAGAAATGTTCACCATTATGAGAAGCTGTGTTGCGCACATGAACTAGGTCAAAGGTCAAGGTCACACTGGAAGGTCATTGAAAAATCCTTTTCCAGAGAAAAACTTCTACATGCATAGAAGGATTTCAATATAACTTGGCACAAATGTTCACCATTCTGAGGTGGTGTGTTGCGTGCAAAATTTAGGTCTAAATATATGCAATGTCAAGGTCACTAATAAAAGATGATAAAATAGAGATTTTGTCCAGAGCATATCTCTACTCATATGGAGGGATTCTAATGAAACTTGATAGAAATATTCACCACTATGAAAAGCAGTGTAATGAGCATGAACCAAGCAACTTCTACATGCATAGAGGGTTTTGCTCAAATGTTCACCATTATGAGGCGGAGTGTCACGTGCAAAAGTTAGGTTCCTGCGGTCAAGGTCACACAAAGGAGTCAAAGTTCAGATAATGAAATAGTATTCGGACCATTTAGTCATTATATATTGAGGGATTGAAACACAAATGGTATTTATCATGACTTCCATTGTGAAGCTAAGTATTGCAATGTATATATAGTGGAATTTTTTTAAATCGTTATTTTTCTGTTTTGGATTGAATTTCAGGGTCCTGTGACGTATGTCATCTTAAAATAACAGTACATAATAAATTTGTAGGATACATGATAATATAACAAGAATCAAGTATCAAGGTTAAAGATCAAAATGACACTTGTACAAAGTAATCTTATATATATGTGCATGTTAACATTTGGTATGGTTAAGCCGCCAATTTTTAGCTCACCTGAGCACATGCTCAGGGTGAGCTATTAGGATCACGTTTCGTCCATCGTCTGTCGTACGTTGTCCGTTCACACTTCAAACGGCATCTCCTCTGAAACCATAAGGCAGATCATAATGAAACTTCACAGGGATGTTCCTTGTGTGAAGCCTTAACAAAGTTGTTCAAAGAATTCTATTCCATGCAGAACTCTGGTTGCCATGGCAACCAAAAGAAAAAATTTTAAACATCTTGTTCTAGAAAACCCAAAGAGCTAGAGCTTAGATATTTGGCATGAAACATCTTCTAGTGAGTGTCTACCAAGTTTGTTCAAATAAAATCATTGGGGTCAAAATTGGCCCCGCCCCAGGGGGTCATTGATTTTCCCTATATGCATATAGTAAAACCTTAAAAAAATATTCTGTTAAAGAACCTAAAGAGCTAGAGCTAAGATATTAAGCATGAAACATCTTCTAATGAGTGTCTACCAAGATTGTTCAAATAAAAGCCCTGGGGTCAAAATTGGCCCCGCCCCAGGGGGTTATTGATTTTCCCTATATGCATATAGTAAAAACTTAAAAAAATTTCTTTTTAAGAACCCAAAGAGCTAGAGCTAAGATATTTGGCATGAAACATCTTCTAATAAGTGTCTACCAAGATTGTTCAAATAA